TAAGTCACTAAGTTATGAAGTAATTGGTTACACAGCAATAGATAGTTAACACAGACATATGTCTGTGTATATGTGTATGTATGGTTCATACATATATTTCCCACTTCCGTCCCCTGAGACAGTCTAGAAACAGTGATAACCTAGGAGCAATCAGCACACTTAGTGCGCAGATGTTGGATTCTGAATGCTGTTCTCCACTAAACAAATGTCTCGTTCCAGGGCTGGGGTAGAGAAAGAACAAGATGAACCTGGAACATTATCACAGCACATGCCTCCTGATGTGATGCACTCAGAACACAGGATTGCTTCTGGAATATTCCTGCCAAGACATGACCTGCATCTAACCATGGAGAAAGATGAGGCAAACCCAACAGTAAGGGACTGTCTACAAAGCAACTGGCCTGTAATCTTCAAAAGTCTCAAGGACAGAAAAGTCAAAGAAAGACTGAGGAACTGGTCCAAATTCAAGGAGCCTAAAGAGATGTGACGACTAATGGAAAGTGTCCTGAATTGGATCCTGGACCTATAAAGATTAGTAACTGGGATACTGGCAAATTTTGAATGGGAATCACGGATTAGACAGTAATAGTGGAACAGTGTTAATTGATGGTTGGCCTGCAGTTATCTGGGAGAATGTCCCAGATTTCCAGAAATATGTGCTGAAGTACTAAGGGCAAATGAGACATAATGTTTGCATCTTACTCTCAAATGCTTAAAGAGTATGACCAGGTATATATGGAGAGAGCAAATGACAAGTGTTGCAAACTGTTAACTGAGGAATATGAGGAACACACAGGGGTTCTTTGTACTATTCTTGCCATTCTTGTATAAATTTGAAATTATTTCAGCATGAAAGTTTTTTAAAAATAGGTATTCCCAGTTTGCTGTTGGTGTTGTAACTTTGTTATTTTTTGCTAAACAAAAGTTGTTTTTTTTTTTTTTTTTGAGACAGAGTCTCACTCTTTTGCCCGGGCTAGAGTGCCGTGGCGTCAGCCTAGCTCGCAGCAACCTCAAATTCCTGGGCTCAAGCAATCCTTATGCCTCAGCCTCCCGAGTAGCTGGGACTACAGGCATGCGCCACCATGCCCGGCTAATTTTTTTTTTCTATATAGTTTTAGTTGTCCAATTAATTTCTTTCTAATTTTAGTAGAGACAGGGTCTCGCTCTTGCTCAGGCTGGTCTCAAACTCCTGAGCTCAAACAATCCGCCCGCCTCGGCCTCCCAGAGAGCTAGGATTACAGATGTGAGCCACCGCGCCTGGCCTAAACAAAAGTTTTTTTAAAAAAAAAAAACAATCTAATTTGTCAAGCTTTTCCCTTTTGGCTTTGGGTAATGTTTCCTGCTTGGGGTAGTCATTTGAAGAATGTCCCCAGGTCAACAAATTAAAGAGGTAAGTGGCAAGTTTCATCTCACCTTTGCAAGAGAAATACCAACGGGTGTGGAGAAAAAACTGCTCAACTTTTCTCTGGAGCCATAGCTTAGGAGATGGAAACAGGGAGTCCTACAGCTTCACTGCTCACTGGGCATCTTCGGCTGAATCGCTGGCCAACACTTCAAATTCAACAGAGCTAAAACCCACCTACTCTTTTTGTCCAAACTAGTCACTTCTCTGACTTTTCTATTTCTGATGGTTTCTCAGGTACCCAAACTCAGGAGCTATCTTTGCATCCTCCTCTTGTTCTTCCCACATCTAACCAGGAATTGATGTTCTTCACTCTTCATATTCTCATCACATTGTCACCTCCTCTTCCCAAACCTCATCCTCCAAATCTGAATTGTCACTACAGCCTCCTCCATTTACCTCTTAGTTGCTACTTTCCCATAACCTAATCCTAGAGGGACATTCTCATGGATTCCCTCCATTGCTGCCTTAGCTTGTTTATTATAGTATTTACTTAAAAGTATGTAGAAACATAAAGCTGGATTGCAACTCCTTATCCTCAGAGCTTTCATTCAACTCTAAAACGAAAACTGATTTACAAATCCAATACAAACATAAGCACAGAACCAATAAAATCCAAATTAACATTTAATGTCAGATGCTGTTCTGGTGACTGTACTGCTATTCACATTATAGTAGTGATACGGATGGCCTTCTGGTATTCCATGTGCCTGTACTGTTGTAGGTACTGATGGCCACTTTCCCCACCATTTTTTTCTATTGGAATTTCTATAAAACCTTGGTTAGTACAGTCACCAGGAAATTGGCCTCCACTTTGACATAGATAGACCATTTAGGCATTAATTCCTCTTCTATTCTTGTCTCATAAGCTTGTGACAAAGCAACTTGGTTCCATAAACACAGATGCAGATAGGAGCAATGGAACCATGAAATCTTGTGGAAAGACACAGCTCTAAGTGGTTACTCAGATAAGTCTGAACTTTCTTAGACTAATATCTTAAATATTCATAGTGACATTATTTACAACGACCAAAAGTGGAAGCAACCCAAGTGTCCATCAGTGGATGAAGGGATAAACAAAATGTGGTATAAACATACAAATGGAATATTATTCAGACTAAAAAGACAGGGAAATTCTAACACATGGATGAACCTTAAGGACATTATGTTAAGTGAAACAAGCCAGCCACAAAAGGACACGAAAGTATGATTTCTCTTATATGAGGTACCTAAAGTAGTCAAATTCATAGAGACAAAGTAGAATGTGGTTGCCCGGGACTTGGGGAGAGGGCCAGGGGAATTAGTGTTAGGATACAGTTTCAGTTTTACAAGATGAAAAGGGTTCTGTGGAGGGATGGTGGTGATGATTGTACCACAATGTGAATGTACTTAACACTATTGAACTGAACAATTAAAAATGGTTACGGGCGGGGCACGGTGGCTCACGTCTGTAATCCTAGCTTTCTGGGAGGCCGAGGCGGGCGGATTGTTTGAGCTCAGGAGTTCGAAACCAGCCTGAGCAAGAGCGAGACCCCGTCTCTACTAAAAAAAAAAAAATAGAAAGAAATTAATTGGACAACTAAAAATACATAGAAAAAATTAGCCGGGCATGGTGGCGCATGCCTGTAGTCCCAGTTACTCGGGAGGCTGAGGCAGAAGGATCACTTGAGCCCAGGAGTCTGAGGTTGCTGTGAGCTAGGATGATGCCACGGCACTCTAGCCAGGGCAACACAGTGAGACTCTGTCTCAAAAAAAAAAAAAAAATGGTTACGATGGTAAGTTTTATGTTGTGTGTGTTTTACAATTAAAAATTTTAAAAATATAATATCAAGTGTTAAGACCAAAATTTTTCAATGCTTATAAAGAACTTATGGACTCTGAATGAATATTCCTGCAGGCACCTTTCCCACAGTCCACACTGCTTTGATCCATTCTCCAGCCTACGCCCCCAGCCTGGGATTCTAAAAGAACCTCACTCTGACTTCTCATACACATCACTGTTACCTCTCAACTCTCCTCCACATCAACCTTTAACTTCAGCTAACTGGTGTCCACCAAACTTGACACACATCCTCCTCTCTTTGCCTTGGCTCATGTCTCTCCTCATTTGCTTTTATCATCTAATCCTTCCATTTGACTAAGTCATCTTTCCCTCCTCACAGGATGGTCCCAGCCCACAGGGACTTCCCCCACATCAGAGGGTGTCAATTCGCCCAGTTTGGCATTAGTCACACATTCTACATTATTTCATCACTTATCCTCCCAATCATTCAACATTCATGGAACATACACCATACACACGACAACATGCTAGGCCCTTGAATCAAATACTACATTTTCTGCTTTTTGTCTCTTTCATAGCCCCTTGCACATTTCACAAATGTTTATTACAGTCATGAGGAAGATGTCATACCAGTCTGTATTGTATTCCACATATGGACAGCAAATTTTAAACTACTGAAATCAAGAACAGTATAATATCAGGACTTGCCTAAAGTAACAAGATGTTTTGTTGTTGAGAGTAGTGTGTTTTTTGTATCAAACTTAAAATGCACTTGTCAGTACAAGAAAGGTTTCAAGACTGACTTCAATGGACATTATGTAGTAGAAGACTCTAGCCCTGGTTACTGGAAGGTTCCATGACAATAGTTGTAATGTTATTTGGTCATGAATGCCTGTGATCAGAGAAAGCATCCAGAACACGTACTGTTTCATTAGTCTATCCCCCTTTAAGATAGACAAATGGCCAATAAACATATGAAAAAATGCTCAACATCGCTAATAATCAGGGAAATGCAAATTAAAACCCAATGCAATATCACCTTACTCCTGTTAGAATGGCTTTTATTAAAAAGTTGAAAAACAATAGATGCTGGTGTGGATGCAGAGAGAAAGAAACACTTATACACTGTTGGTGGGACTGCAAATTAGTACCCCCTCTATGGAGAGTTCTCAAAGGTCTAAAAGTAGATCTGCCATTTGATCCAACAATCACACTACTGGCTATCTACCCAAAGGAAAAGAAGCCATTTTATGAAAAAGACACCTGCACTTGAATGTTTATTGCAGCACAATTCACAATTACAAAGATTTGGAATCAACCCCAGGGCCCATCAGTTTATGAGTGGATTAACAAAATGGGGTATATATATACCATGGAGTACCACTCAGCCATAAAAAAGGATGAATTAATGCCTTTTGCAGCAATTTGGAAGAAACTGGAGACCATTATACTAAGCGAAGTATCTCAAGAATGGAAAAACAAACATCACACGTACTCTCTAATAAATTGGAACTAACTGATGGGCACATGTGCACAAAGGGAAGTAAAAGTCAAGCAGTGGGGAGGGAGTAGGAGGAGAGGGACAAAAACCTACCTAACTGGTACAATGAATGCTATTTGTGTGACGGGAACACTTGTAGCCCTGATTCAAGCCATGTAACAAAAACATTTGTACACCCTTAATATTTTGGGAAAAAAGTTATCCAGAGAGGGCAATGAGGAATCATTTATTTTCTTCAATTTTAAATGTATTAAAATATTGATAGAATACATTAAAAATCCCCCTTGAATATGATTTACCTGATAGACATGTGCACAAACACAAATAACTTTATTCACGTTAGAACAGTGTTTGAGTAGACAGTTTTAAGGACACTTAATACAATCAATTTCTTGAACTCATTTGATTTTTAAAAAACTATATTCAAGCTCTGAGTATTTTTCTTACAGAATTTTGCATGTGACTCATTTCTTTCTACACAAAGGTAAAATACTATTTGTATTTGCTTAATTCCCCATTATTTTTCTGTTTCAACATGATTTTGTACCCTCAGTCATTTCAGTGTTAGTCAAAGGTTAGACTTTCTTTCATTCTTAGCCTTTTTTGAGCTTCATTTTCTCTCTTTATGTTCTCTGGTATAGCTTCGAGGTGTAGGGTATTCATTCCCAAGATCCACAACAATTACCTCCCTAGAAAATGTCACTCCTTTTAAAGGTCTTTTTTGGTTTTCAGCACCTGAATGAGTTCTACTGAGAGGTACAGTTGTTTTCCGCAAATTGTCATTCTGCAAGAGAATGGGACAAACACTATAAATGATCACGTTATGAACATAACAAGCTCTGCTTTTAAAAATAGGGGTACAATATTATCAGAGTGGTCCTGGGGCATTAAAGGAAATATATATATATAGGCTATGTGAACATTGTTAATGAGAAACAGAAAAAGTATTTCTAAAGGATTTAGGAAAGTGGTGATAATCCACCATGATCACATTTTCATATTTCTCTGCTTATAAAAGCACACATTGACGTATTCAGATGACATTTGGTGATGTGTTATTTTCCTTATGAAGTGGTTGAACCTAAAAGGCACCTGGACCTCTGTCATGGACTGGGCATGGTTGGGTGGTGGGAGGACATGTGAGCTATTCTTATCAGGGAGCTCATGAAGGTCCTGGCCACGTTGTGCAGAGGAGCCTGGAACTAGCACAGGGACATGCGATCTGCTCCTGAGCTCAGCCACAGTGGAGAAGTAAACAATTCATCTCATTTTCTTATCGGTCATAGGAGAGGGTTGGACCCCTATATAATCTCTTACAGCTCTAAGATCCTAGGATTCTGAGAAAAATAAACTGAAGGGGGAATTAATAAGAAAAACACAAATGGAACAATGAAGATAAGCAAGTTTCTAGGCTTGGCATATGTAAATGGTTTAATGACATGAATCAACAGGCTAAGAAGAATGGTTTAAATGACTGCGGACACTGGACTCATTCTAGGAACAAACCTAAGTTACAGGCAACTCCATCCCTTGTTATTACACCTAGTTGAGCAATTTACCTCTTTTTCAATCTAACTTGCCCCTTTAGAGTGGAAAAACACATCACCTCTTGACTGGTTTCTTCAGCATTTTCAGCCTCCTCTTTTATTTGGTCCTCTTCTGCATCCACATCCTGTCTATGTACTGAGGGTATGGTCACCATTTCCTTACTCTGTCTCTGGACAAGAATGCCAGGCCTCACTGGCATGATTTGCATTATGTCCCTGGAAAATCAATCAGCAGGGTTTTAAAAATTCATGCATCTTGGCCACCAATATTACACACAAAAATGGCCTTTCTACCACATCCTAAGAAAGAGACTTACTTTCCATGGTCTCCTAGATTATTCGTCTCCACATTGGTAGCTACACAGTCTACACCTCCATCAGCATCCGTACAAGGAAGTTTTTCTACCTTGTCATTTCTCTTGCCTTGGTAACTGAAAGCAAATAAGCAAAAAGAAAAAAAAAATCAGAAAAGGAAGAATGGCCCTGATTTTAAGGTATAGCATAGAAACTATATCTTTTTTAA